GACATGAATCTGTGGGGAGATATTGGCAGATAAATGGAGGGCGGAGGAAGCCTCAATAAGCCGGCTACCAGAAAGTGACATATCCTCAGAGGACAAAATCAGAACCCTTCAAGGGCTCCCTGCTCAGCAGGGAGTCTGCTTCTCCCTCTGACCCTCCTCCCTCTCATGCTCTCTGTCTCTCATTCTCTCTCTAAAATAAATAAATAAAATCTTTAAAAAAAAAAAAGAATTCTTTTTAGTACCTAAGGGACAATTACCCACAGGCTGTTTTATACAATGAAACTGCTTTCTTTTCGGTCATTTTCAACATGGGCTCAAATTTCAATACTTCGCTGCCCAAATAGATCATATTTCAGGAATTCAGGAAATAAAAAAAGAGGAACGCAATCTGATTTTTAACAACAGTAACTATTCAAGAAATAGAACTGGAAGGATTTTTTTTAATGCGGTTTATTAAAGATGACAAAATACGTTTCTCTGGTGTTCCTATGGAAGCAAACTGAACAGAGACTGTCTCAGACAGCTGTTCTGTGTCCCCTTCCACAAGCACCTCCTCTTTGCTTCTTTACGACTATCAATCTGTCTTTAGGTTTATTTCTTGCATCAGTAGACAAAATGCCATGCTATTCCAAGGCCATGGAGTAAAAGTTGGCACTAAGAGTCCATTTAGGGGCAAAATGGGTAATCATTCTTACAATTTGAAGAGACATTTAAAAATCTCTACACTGTCACATTCATAGGTACTTTCGCCCCCTTCCTGCCACAGGCCCTACCTGAGCAGGAAGTTGATCTCAGGTGAAGAGATGGGGAGTCTGAGATGTAGACAGGACAAACAAAGGACCAGCCCTCATCTGCTGTTACTCCTCTACCTGACCATCTAGTTCAGCTCAGTGCTGTGACCACCTTGGCCGACTGTCGCATGCATGCGGGCCTCCGCAGTGGGGCACTCAGGCTCCAGGGAACACTGGTTCAACTGTTGACCTGGACCCCAAACCACCTCCCGCAGAAAGCCCTGGCTCCCTGTCCAGACGTCCTTCCTATCATTCCATGAGAACTGAGCAAATGCCTTAAGGTTCACAGGAGAACACTAACCTACCATTTGCTCACTGGGTTTTCCGATGCATGGGTCTCTCTTTAATCAGCTAACCCAGAACTGGCCTGCCAGCTAGCTCCTATCAGAGGTCATGCTAAAAAAGAATGATATTTAGGGAAGGAGGGTTGATCTTGATGTTATCAAAGACACAAATACTTCCTGGGGGAAAAAAATCAGCATATGAACAGCCAGAAAGAGACCCATGAGGTCCAGCATTATTTTGCAGATCAGTATTTACTTGAAAGCAATGCACACAGACATAAGCAAGACCAGCTTTGACACGGGGTCTATACCCCAAGCTTGCTTTCTGCACACAAGGAACAGAAATGGAAAAACCATGAGGGCTTTGTGGATTTCTTCCAGAAAGAGATGTCAAGGGAAGATAATGGAGAAAAAACTTAGACACGGAGGAGCAACCATTTAAGAAAAGACAATGCCTGATAGGCAGCCAGCTCTCTATTCAGGTAGGAGAGCTGTCACAAACAGCTGAGACCTCTGGGCTATTTCAGCAGGGCAAAGACATGTGCCAGCCTAAATTCAGAGCTCTGAGGATTCTTCTCTACACTGTGTTACCTGGGGCAGCTGGGTGTAAGGATGCTGTGTCCATCTGGGCTAAACACACGTTAGGTTGCTAGAAACCAAAATGCTGCTAATAGTCTCCTGATGCTCAGACAGTCTTGGAGCCGAGTACCCAGTCAGCAATGACAGCATCACCCCGGTTCAGGTGTAAGTATCTTTTATCTCTCAAATCTCCTACCATCCAGGAATTTTCTTCCATCCCAGACTGAGGCATGCTGTTACTAAGCAACTTCAAGTCATATCTGAAGTCTGTGAGTGGGTGTGGTTGAAATAAACAGATGACAAAGTCACTGCAAGTTACAGAGAGGCAAAAGCTACACAAAGACCTTTTAAAAACATGCCTGTACTTTTTATTCTGGCCTGTCAACGCCACACCATGCCTTGACTTTGTTTTGTACAGGTTTTAACTGTCTTCATAGAATCCCAGCATTTCTGCAAGCTCAGTGAGAGGGAATTGCAGCCAACTGTGGCCCAACGGAGAAGGAGCTCAGGCACACTGCACTCTCCAGGGCCGAGCTGCACACCGCTTCTGACGGGTACAAATCCTAAATGGCTTGAAGACCTATGCGCACTGCCATGACTTATCTGTCCATTTGGAAAGATGACCGGGACTTATATTTCAGCCATCCCTGAGTTTCTTCTAGTGTTTACTCCCTTCTTCTCCAAACTCAAGGCAATTCAGAGATTTTCGTGAGAGACAAAATTTTTGTTCCAGCCCCTTTTAATTCAGTGATGCTCAAGACTCCCCTCCTTCCTGCCTCGCGGGCCAAACAAATAACTTCTCACACTTATCTCTACATCACAAGATGTCATAGGAATTGTGGTATTTTTTTAGATGACCAGGAGTCACCTATCTTTCCTGGATCACTCAGTTAATCACTAACTAGAGGCTTTCTGCCTTCAGTCCTCTGGTGACACTTCTGCAACCAGCAATGTTCTCTCCAGTTCTGACACTCCAATTACCAACCACCCGGGCGCCACAGGGAGCTACTGTGTGGGGCTGCTATCCTTTTCCATCAGGACAACTGAGTAACAAAATCTTATGGCTCAGGACTTGGCAGAGTGAAACAGATCAATGAAGCTGCCAATGCCCACGTTTACTGCAGAATAACTCCTGGTCCTGAGCTCCGGCACCCGCAGGGCACACAGATATGTGTTGTCAGTGGTCCAGAGAAGACCCACAGTCTCCCTCACAATTTTCCCACGGGGACACGTCACCACAGGAGCTACAGGCTCCCAGTCTTCCCTGAGAAGTGCCCGATCTGGTGGAGGAGGTCAGAGCTGTCGTAGGGTCTGCATGGCCAATCTGTAAATTATCAAAAACGTAAGAAATTGACGCATCTTAAAACCAAAAGGTACAGCTGAGGACGAAAGAGTCGGAGACAACGAAGACAGAGCCCCAGGCTTTCAGAGTTCACAGGAGGGCAAACAAGTCGGCAAATAACTACAATCCGCGCAACAAGTACCAAAGCAAAGGCAAGGCCAGGCGAACCGCTGACCTGCGAAAAGGCCAGGCCCTTCAGCAGGAGGGAGACCGGGAGGGAAACGAGGGGCAGCCTGACCTCTGGTCCCAAATTTCCCCCCACCAACTCGTCTTGGGGCCTGGCCGGGAGGCACCCAGGCAAAGGGGGCGCGGGGGGGAGGGGCGGCTCTGGGAAGCGCGTCCGTCCTCACCCCGCGGACGCCCCGCGGGCCCTCCTCAGCCTCCGCCAGCGCGAGCTCCGCGGCCCCCTCGTCACCCCGCGTACACGTCTGGGCACCTAGAAGCGTGGGTCGCGCCCCGGCCGTCCCGCGCCCCGCCTCTCCCTTCCGGCCCGGGTCCGGGCGGCTCCCTCCTCCCTCAAGACCCCTGCCCCACCGCAGGCCGGAGCCGGGGGAGCCTCACCTCGGACGGGAGCCGGCGGCAGCGGACGCCGTCGTGGGGCTCAGAGCATCCTGGAGTCGCAGGCAGCCAAGAAGTGCGGCCGCGCGGAGCCCGAAACGAGTTATGTAACCCGCAGGGGCCGCAGCCGGGACGGAGGCGGCGGCTCGCGGCACTTCCGCCTCCCGCGCCGGGCCGGCGGCGCAGGCCGGAAGCCCATTGGCCACCGGCCCCCACGTGGGACGCCACCGCCGCCATCTTACGAGCGGGCGGGTCTCGGGTGAGGCCCGGTGGCGGGCGGAGGCGCGGACGAGGCAGGTCGCCGGCTGAGCGCTTCTGCGCTGGCGGACGTGGGCGGTGGCGGACGTAGACGACCTCGGCGCCCCCTCCTGCCCCCCCCTCGGTGGAAGCCGGCCGGTTGGTGCCTTCTGGGCCCGGCTGAGTGCCCCATACGCAGAGCGGGGGGGGCTCCCGAGACAGGGATTGCTCCCTGTTCTCCAGTCTTGCCTGGGCTGACGCTCCCCTCGCTTGGGCTTGGGGCTCGGGCTTTTCCATCCCTGGCGCCCGGCGGCGCGTCGAGCCGGGGAAGCGTAGGCCGCGTCCACGACAGCCAGTCCGTCTACGCACAAAGGCTGCCAAAGGGTAGGGGTCGGTCGCACTCAAGGTGCAGGAGGGTCTGTATCACAAGATCGAACTCAAGTTCTGTTGGTAGGGAACCCGAGTTGAGCAACATCTGATAGTAACTTTAAAGCAGGAATTTATTCTTTGCCTTCAAATAAAAGTGGTCCACATAGCCAAAGGATGGAATAAGAAGGACCTGCTTACAGCCAAAGGCTAGAATAATCCACCCTAAAAGGATTTCATTCATATCCAAGAGAATAAACGTTATCACAGGTCAAAAGTCTAAATAAAATAACACTATCTTAGAAAAGTTAAAAGCATATTTTTTTTAACATTTTGAAAAGGAAAAAGTAAAGAGGTGAGAAGTTTTTAAAGTAACTGGTATAAATAGATCAAGAGTAATATGGGGCGCCTGGGTGTCTCAGTCTGTTAAGTGTCTGCCTTCATGATCCCAGGATCCTGCCATCCAGCCCCACTTCCCACTTCCCTCGCCCTGCTCAGCCAGGAGCCTGCTTCTCCCTCTCCCTCTGCCCCCTCCTCCACCCCTCACCCCTCGCTTGTGTGCTCTCTCAAAAAAAAAAAAAAAAATAGAGGTAACAAGACAATATAAAACAAGAAGGAATAATCTATTGTTTGTCTACATAGTATGATGTGTAGAGGCTGATGGAATCTTGATTTATATAAAGCAACCCATATTTACATTTCCTTTTTGTAACAGTTTCTGTAAGTTCCTGTTTTTTTAAGAAAGCTGAAAATAACACTTGAACAAAATGAAAATTGATATAATACTCTTTACACCTCTGCACTGTTACATGTTTAAGGACCGCAAACATGCTATTGAAAGCAAAGATGCTGTGGTGAACTGTGTTTGGGCCCATTCAGAACATTTTGAGGACTTCACACAATTATATTTAGTGTGTCATTATTAAATTATTTATAAATTAAATTTGTCGCAAAAAAAAAAATTTAAGATTGATTAGAAAGATCCATACAGTACAGCAAGATAAATGAGGGCCAAACAGGGTGTGGTGAGGTGGGTGTGTAAAATGCACTTTAAGGTCCTATATACTTTCTAGAGATGGGCTGAAACTTCAGCTCTGATCTTTCCAGAATCCACTTCCAAGAGAACAACTGGTTATGAGATTTAAGGGGTCAATGTGTCAGAGGTGGCTAACTGCTACCTACCGTCTATTGCCCCACAAGTCTTTCTTCTCCTTCTCCAATAACTGCTTTATCACATCTTCTTGTATTAACAGAACCCCACCCCCTACAGCAAGCAAATAGCTGTCAAGGTAGGCTTGTATTTCTCAGCCTCCCTTGCAGCAAGGTGAGGCTGTATGCCAAACTTATTACCAATGGATAAGAGTGAAAGGACATAGGCAATTTCTGTGTCATGTCCTTAAAAGCAATTTGTGTAAATGTTACCAATTGATGGAGCTGAGTTGGCAGGTACGTAGGTGTTTGCTGCATTATTCTTTCAAATATTCAGGTTTGAATTTTTTTAAATTTTTTTTTATTTGTGTGAGACAGAGACAGGGGAAGCGGCAGGCAGAGGGAGAAGCAGGCTCCCCACTAAGCAAGGAGCCTGATGGGGGACTTGATCCCAGGACCCTGGTATCATGACTTGAGCTGAAGGCAGACGTTTAACCAACTGAGCCACTCAGGTGTCCCAGGTTTGAATTTTTTTTAAATAAAGAGATGAGGTTTAAAAAAAGGAAGTTGCTTGCTTTCCTCCTCCTCTTTCTCCCCTTTCCTGTGTTCCTGTCCATGGAAAATGGATGCAGTGATAAACCCCTTCAGTAACACGGGAGAAGTGAAACCCTACCTATCTCCTTGCTACTTAAAGTGTGGTCTGTGGTCCAGCAGCATCAGCATACCTGGGAGCTTGTTAAAAATATGGAACCTCAGGCCTCAGCCAGATTGAATCAGAATTTGCATTCAACTAAGAACCTATGTTTAACAGGATCCCTAGTTGATTTATAGTTTGAGAAGCCTTAAAACATTGGAAGTTTGAAACATTGAAACATTAAAGTTTGAGAAGCCCTCCCTATGTGATGACAGAGGTATAACATTGTTGTTTCCAGGGTTCTATGCACAGTACTTAAAGATGAACTGTCAAAACTGAGAAGGGCATATACATCCATTCAAACTTTAAAAACACTGTTTTTAAACACAAATGAGAAAATATTCTCCCAAGGGCTTATTATTTGCCAAGGGCTGTGTTAAGCTTCTAACAGGATCTCTTTTATCCTCAGGACAAGGAGGTACCACATCTTACTACATGTTACTACAAGGGTTATTCAAGGTAGTTGTCCTCTGAAAAAAAAAAAACCATTCCACCCCCAAAATGGCCCCTAATTGGTTTAATCAATTAAGGTCAGCCCCTTGGGGCGCCTAGGTGACTCAGTCGGTTAAGCATCTGCCTTCAGCTCACGTCATGATCCCAGGGTCCTGGGATTGAGTCCCACATCGGGCTCCTTGCTCAATGGGGAGCCTGCTTCTCCCTCTGCCTGCCGCTCTCCCTGCTTGTGATTGTGTGCTCTCTCTGACAGATAAAAAATAAATAAATCCAAGGCTCTGGTATATAGATAAGAAATAAGGTCAGCCCCTTGTCTCTTGGCTCAGTGATTTGGGTAGTGTGGTCGTCAGTCTCCTCCAGTTCTGTTTCATCAGGAGCTGCCTGTTCTGAGCACTCTGTCTGCTCCTCCTCCCTCTGGCTGCAAGGCCTCTTCTGCTGTACTGTTATTTTTCTCTTGCCTACTCATGGCCATGGGTCAAGCAGGGAGAAACCTAGAGGCACTACTCTCGAGGAGAGCCAGCAATCTCTACTCCGTAGCTTAGCCGCATTCCAAGCTGCCAAGCAGAGGCAGTACTCCAGGGAGCACTTGAAGGGAAACCCTCAATTCCTGCCTCCTCAGATGCAGAACCCTCTCCCAGCCTTGGAGACAGGGAGGTAACAAGGCTTCTCTGGGCCAGGGCGAGCAGCAAGCCACCATCGACATGGGCTGCCTCTGCCCTTCCCAAGCCCTGGCTTAATTACTCTGCTAATTTTGGAAGTAATATATACTCACGATTCTATGAATCTCCAAGGCCAAGATCTCTCCAGAAATTAAGGCATTTAAATTTTCACCTCTCCCTTCTGGTCCCTGGGGTCTCATCTGGCCCATAGAGGAACAAAATTGGGTACTACTCTTTTATTCCAAGCATGGGTGATACCACTTATCTAGGGCCTTACTCACTACTCTGTCAACAATGGACTAGGGTTGGGGAGGAGGATAGCAGGGGCCGGCAATCAAGGTTTCCCCTGCAATACCCACACATTCAGGTTATAAACAGCATTGCAACTAACAACTTTGTAGAGAAACCTGCACACATTTCAGATTATTTTTTTTAGGGAACAATTCCTAGAATGTTGGTTAAAAAAATTTTTTTAAAGATTTATTTATTTAGAAAGAGAGAGCTGGGGGAGGGGCAGAGGGAGAGAGAGAATCCCAAGGAGACTCCCAATGTGGGGCTCAATCCCACGACCCCGAGATCACGACCTGAGCTGAAACCAAGAGTCGGACACTAAACCGACTGAGCCACCCAGGTGCCCCCCAAATTATTTTTAATTGACCACATTTCAATTTGGAAACAAACCTCTGCCCAAAAGTTTTTACTAGTTTATTCTGACACCAAGAGTGAGAAAGCTTCTGTCGCACATATCCTCACCAACATGGGGTATTATTATTTTTTAATTTTTAAAAGATTCTATTTATTTATTCATGAGAGACAGAGAGAGAGAGAGAGGCAGAGGAAGAAGCAGCCTCCCGGCAGAGGAGGGAGCCTGATGTGGGACTCGATCCCAGGACCCTGGGATCATGACCTGAGCTGAAGGCAGACGCCTAACCGACTGAGCCACCCAGGTGCCCAACATGGGGTATTATTATTCCTTACCTCTCTGCATCTGGGTGAAAAGATCTCATAATTTTAACGTGTATTTCTTGGTAAGTTTGATCACTTTTCCCTATTTTTATTAACCATTTATATTTCTTCTATATATGATTTTTACAGATGTGTCCAACATGATATTTTTGTTTGGGCTTAACTGGGGGGTGGGGGATTTTCTAACACAAACTTTTAATTTTCTTTTTAAGTAAGTTCTGATGTGGTTTGAAGTGGTGGGGTTCAGAGCCAACAGCCAAGAAAGAATTCTTGAGATGGCTTTGGGGCAAAAAGGTGGTTTTATTAAAGCACAGGGACAGGACCTATAGGCAGAAAGATCTGCACTTGGGTCACGAGGAGTGGCCGATTATATACTTTCAAGTTGAGAGGGGGTTAGGGACAGCAGAAGCCTCCAACGTATTTTGGAAACAAGGTTTCCATGACCCTGAGGAGGCTAGCTATTGTTAGGAAAAGGTCATTTATTACTGTCCAATAAAAACTCAGTCATGAGACCCTTCAGATGTCTATCAGTGGGCCATATGCTTGGAGGATGATTGCTAACCTATATCTTGGTGGGCAGAGATAAAGGAAGTTTCCAAGGAATTTTTATATGTCAAAGTAGACTTACAGGCTCCTGGGGGGTGGG